GGTGCTTTTAAGACTGAATAAAAGGAATGCCACTGAAATAAGTATAAGAATGCTATCTTTGCTGTGTACTGGTCAGTTCTCTGTTTCCTCTCTTTGAGTCAGGCTCACATACTACAGCCCAGCCAGACCTGGAATTCACAACAATCTTATCTTGCCCTTCCAAGTGCTGAGATTGTAGGTGTTCTATTTTTCTCTTTTCTTTTTACATTTGGGTATCCTATGTTATGTATTAAGGGTTTGTTTTTGAAACCTATGCCTATTGAAAGGCAGCTATATGTCCCATGCCTCAGTGGTACCCATTTACTACAGATTATTTGGGGGTATATTTTACTTCCTGTTGTTGGTATAATCTTGATATCAACTGAAGTTCTTCAAATTATATAACATACTTCTGACGTTAGCTTAGTTGTGCAGATCTTACATCTTCACCTAATGAATAAATATGCATTTATTGTTTTCATTATGTTCTCATGATTAATGTCATAAGAACTGGTAACAGCAGGACTGGTGAGGTGAGTTAGCAGCAAGTGGCTACCAAATTCAGTTCCCAAAATCCGGGGATTCGTTGCCTCTGATGTCTGTGGGCACCAACATCTCTGTATATGTCTATGTCACACACACACACACACACACACACACACACACACACACACACACACACAAATAAAATAAACCTTACCAATGGCACTGTAACAGAACTTTCACTGTTAACCATTAGAGATAAATAATTTTTAGATACAAAAAGTGTTTTTAAAGTTTTTATAAAATAACTACAAGAAAGCCAAAGGTTTATGATATTTCCTGAAAGTAATATCTCCCAAAACATGGGTTTATAACTATTTTGTAAATAATCCAATGATATCAAGTGATTGATCTTACATTGACTTCAGCAAATTCATCTTATTGACTATATAATGTGCCACGTACAACTGGGATAATGGTAAGGAACTGTAACTGTAGAGATGTTGGCTTCCCTCAAAAGTAGAGCAAAATCGGCTTAGGGCTCTCAACTCTGATAAAAAGATAACTTGACTTAGATAAAAAGATTTCTAGAAACATTTACAAAATCATTAAACATATTATTTTTGGCAATAATGTGAACTTTAGCATACCTTTAGAGTCAGCCTTTAGAACAACTCGTTTCTATTGTAAGTTTCTATTTGTTCAAAGTATCTTAGAAGCACCCTCTAACACTTCATGAATAATTTGCATGAATTAACCATGTGATAGGAAAACCAAAGATCTCTGTTAAAAACAGAAGATAGAGAATAAGTTCATTTTTCACCTATTCAGATAAACACTATTTGTTGGTTCATTTAAGCATTTCTTTCAGTAATTATGAATTTTGGTATGTGTCTGAATCCAAAGAACATAAAGTGTCCTTTGCTGTGACTTTGTTTTTGGGCAGTAACATGAAACATATGACATTATCTTTTCAGAGTTTATCAGGAAGAATAAGTGAATTGAATATTACAAAGTTATTCAAGCATTCTGCTCAAACTAGGCCATGTACCCTGTGATCACCCTTTACTATATTTTAAAAATAAAGCTTCCTAGAATTTCTTACTTCATTTCAAATTACATGCCTAGAAAATAGAAGAAAATACTTATTTTTTATATCTCCCTAAATCAAGTGCTGTATGCAATAATTAAACAGAAATCACAATTTCTTTTATTAGTGATTTTCTACCTCTGACATTCTCAACTGAAACACAGGTAATAAAGAACTTGCTATGTGTTTTCATGAAACACATGTGGTATAAGTAAGTGCTAGATTCTAACAGTCTAAAGGCAATCTTGATCTAACTAATACTAAAGGCTTCACAGCTGACCACTAGATATGATAGCTAAGAGGCTCAGAGGAGAAATAGTTCCGATCAGACTGAAGTGGTTTGAATCTTTGCTTCTTTGCATGATTTTGGAAAAGTTTGGCATTTTAAAGATATGTTTTGCAGTCAAATGTTTTATTGCAGAAAGGCAAATTTGGAGAAAACGGTAGGGAAATACAACTTGATAGTGGCCAGCAATGCTACCTTGAGTTTGGGGCCTGGGTATCAAGATGACAGTGATGATAGGGTAGTGGCCTTCCAGGCAATAAGACAGGCTTTCAGGAATTTTTACTAATGTAATAAGAAGCACGCATCAATAGGAAGTTAAAACCTGTGATCTCACATTCAAGTCTTTGGTGCAGTCCGTTACAGGATGGAAATATAAAGCGATCAACTCTACTAGCCCAGAATGGCTTTCAAAGCCACACAATGCCTTTTACTGAATAGATGTGAGTCCGTTACTGTCAGTTGCTTATAAGGGAATAACCTTTTTCAAGTCTGAGTTTTCTAAGAGTCACAGGAGCCTTGCAAACATATTTTGCAGCTCATGGAAAGCTACAAGTTTATGTCAAAGTTCATTCTCCATCCACGCTCAGGGGATCTTTTAATTTTGATAAAGAAACAGATTGAAGTGAGTGTGCTTTCCATTCAGAATGGTATTATGTAAGCCAGTTTATATTATATTATAATAGAGAACATTCACCTTGAAACAACTGTTGTTTTAGTTACATCAGGGATGCTCCACCTTTTCACATACCATATGATGCTAATTGTCATTTACATAAGCACTGAGCCCCATACACAGCTATCCTGGCATGCATGAAGCCTGACGGCCACCGGTTGGATATGTCTGGTGACATATTCTCTTATTAATGAGAACCAATTGCAGATAATTTAATTTTGTGGTTATTTTTAATAAAGCATTACTTATATCAGAAACTATGCATTCTGTGCAAATACATTGTTAGTAATGATGTCAGCCACGTGCTGCAGTACATCCATGCAACTGTAACCCGAGAAGTCATGATGTTCCTGCAACCTCAAAAGGATTAATCTTGCAAAGCTCAGCTTATGATAGGACTGCAAACACCATAGGGCCAGTTCTCCCAGTCTGCGTTTGATAAGATATCATTGGTGAAAAGGTCCATGGAGTGCCAACAAGAATTTTAATGTGTCGTACTCTTTGACCAAAAAATTATCTCAAATAGGGTTTTCTTTACATCTATAGTTTTAAAAGAAATCATCTGCTCAAATAAGAGTAGTCTTTTGAATAACAGTTTAAACAAGAGATTTGCAATACATGAACTTTCAGAGCACACTTTAATTTCATAACGGATTGCTGTGTTTTTGTTTACAGTCAGTTTAATGATGCTCCCTATGAAAAAAATAACAAGAATAAGTAATAAAGTCTTATTATTTCAAGTCATTCAATAAAATGAAATAGCTTTGCACGATCAGTTAAGATAATGCCAAAGCTGTCTAAGAAATGTTGACTAGATAAAACTGGAAAAATAAAAATAAATTGTTTCCTTCTCGGAAACCAATTTTACACACACTCGAATTTCCATCAAATTGTATGCTGCCTTGTTAGCACTTCAAAAGAATTATGATCATTCTGTGGCATTATATGCCAGTGGCTCTTCTCCCATCACAACATTAAACACATAAGAAATTTGTTTTTTTTTTTAAAAAAAAAACAGAACAAAACAACAAAGGATGTATTTGCTTTTTTGTATTCACTAAGAATACATTCACTTCTGTCTCGGTGGGACAAGCTGAAGGGGGATTTCACCTTTCCAAACTCTGGGCTGATTTTGTTCAGTCTTTGCAAACACTTTTATCCCTAGCAGAAATGTGTGGAAGATCAGAGCCAGAGGGAAAGGGGATGATACACTACGAAGACCTTTAAAAAGTGCATTTGTTTATCCTACTTAGAGACATCCATCCCTTGCTCCCTCAGGTTAGCAATGCAGGCCTGGTATAAGAAAGAGTATATAGCTTTACACTATTGAAAACCTCTTTGTTCAATATCTCAAAAAATCAAGTATTCTTCCTCATTATGATAGCTGAGTGTAGCAGTAGTATTTATGTTTGTTAACGTAAGAAGGCAATCTTTTCACAGAATCTCGAGACTGCCAAATTAGGCATTAAGCTCATGCAAGTGTCAATCACTAAGCCGAATGCAGGATCACCTGGCTGTAGGCTGTGTTGGATTTAAATGTTACCAGCTTTTACATACAGGGGGGTTCGTCAGTGCTTCCACAGCCTGCATATTTCCTAGTGTTCTCTAAGGAAAAACAAAAGCATGGGGAATCTGTAAAAACTTGAATAGAATAACAAATACTTGAGGTTTAGTAAGCTTTTAATTAAGTATTTCAGAGTTCCCACCTTAGGTGAAGAACAATTTCCTTCTTTCTTTCTTTCTTTCTTTCTTTCTTTCTTTCTTTCTTTCTTTCTTTCTGTCTGTCTGTCTGTCTGTCTGTCTGTCTATCTATCTATCTATCTATCTATCTATCTATCTATCTATCTATGTATTAAAGAACCATGAACCATCTATTCTTTGGGTCTAATGTTTTATATATTCTGAGAATTCATTACACCCTTCCAGGTACACGAAACTTCCTTGGATTACCAGATGTTAAATCTACCCAGGAACATCATGGAAACTGATAAGACTTTTAGCAAGGTCTTGCTGCTTCTGATGGACCCTGGACGAAAGAACAGGAGAGTGCTGACTTTGGGGCCGGTTTAGGGAGCAGAGAATGATTAAGACCAAGACTCTGGAAAAACATAGCAGGGGGATAGGAGACTCCTTGTGCTTTTTTTTTTTCTTAAGCCAGTATAGTGACCGACCAAAAGAGAAAAGAAAGGCAAAAGATTAATTTTCCACGGAGCAGAAATTCTAAACAATACTTCCGTTATTCTAGCTGATTGTTTACTTGGAATGAGAGATTTCCAGGAATGAGTACTCATTTGTCTCTGCGGTCCCTCTAGATCCCCCATCCCAGGGTGATGGGGCTGGAGTGCACGGGTCATGGGAGGAGAAACTGGTTGGTAGTTCCATCACTTTTAAAGCCCCCTTGGGTCATTATTTCTTTTGCAACCATACCGACTGCTTGTCCCATTTTGCTCCTCTTGCCCTGGTCCGCCCCCTCCCCCACTCCCCCTCACCTGTCCACTGCAATGGCTGTCATAGAGTAGATGCTGGCAAACACCGCTGTGATGGGAAAGAAGTTCTGGAAGCGGCAGTAGTTGGCGCCAAAGTACCATTCGCTGTGAAGAGCATAGATGAAATTGACCAAGGTGTTGAAGGCGGCCATGGAGGCGTCGGAGAAAGCCAGGTTTACCAGGAAATAGTTGGTGACGGTCCTCATGCGCTTGTGGGCCAGGATGATCCAGATAACGATGAGGTTGCCAAAGACTGCCACAGCCACCACCAAGCCATAGGCCAGCGACCAGAGTGCAATCCGCCAGGACGGCTGCACGAACTGGTTCGTGAGGTTAGCCCGTGCCTGGGAAGGTGCCTGGGATGTCATCGGTAGCCCCAGAGCCGAGGAGAAGTTGCCAGCCTGGAGCGCAAGCCACTCAGTGACCCCCAACCCAGCGCTCAGGTTCTCTGCCTGCGTTCCCACGCCTGCCGCCCCGTCGGTCCAGCTCTCAGCGGTGGGGACTGAAGCCATGGCCAGCGTCTGCAGCCCGGGACGTGCCACACTCCCGCTGCCAGCCGGAGCCGGCTCCCTTGAAGTTCTCCAACCCCTGGGCACGGCGGTCTCCGGTACTGCCTGGTAGCAAGTAGGGAAGGTACCCGTTCCTGGGATGCTGCGATGGAGCAGAGGATGCGGAGCAGGGGCCACACTTAGTCCTGGGAGTTTGCGTCTCTGCCTGGCAGGGAAGAACCAGGGACTGTTCCAGCCAGGGAGGAGCTACCAGGCAGCAGCCAGAGAGCTGAGATCTGCTCTGAAGGCGCGCTTTATAGTCTCCAGGAGTCCCCAGGATCCGTGACGTCGCGGGTCGCAAGACTGACGAACACCCCACCCCCACCCCCTGCAAGCTCCCGCTCTAGGCTCTCCGCTTCTCCAGCCCACACTCAGGGATTCATTCATTCTCTATTCCTCTTCAGGCGGTTGCCGACTAATGGCACAGGAAAGACATGCTTTGTCCCCAGCATCAAATCTTACCAAAATCGTCTTCCCGCTTTTAACTTTAGGATTTTGCTCTGAGTTTTTCAGTGAGATGTACTTTCCTGAAACAACTAACGATTGATTCACCAATAAGTAGAAGGCAAGATGACAGGTAAATGTGGGGGGAGTGTGGAGGAAATCACCCAGCAGCAGGCAGTGGGTACAGGCGACTATACTCTGTGTAATCAGCTTCGCGATTTAAGTCAGCGTTTGAGTTCTGTTTATATTTTCAGTCTGAGGTTCCTTTTCTTGTTCCCACTTTCAAGTGTCCACCACTTCCTTTCTTCTAATTCTCATTACTGGAAATCTGCTCCCTCTGCTTTGTTCCCCTCAGATGGAACCACCTCCCCACCCTTGCCAGGCTTCTTTTCAGATTAATTTGTCTCAGCACTCAGAATGTAATCCAGGAATGTAAATGTTCATAAAACAAACTGATACTGTGTAGGTCGTCTTTCCTCCACCCCCTCCCTGGTCAAATGAACCCACTGAGCGAAGTGAGTGCACACACGTGTTTATGTGGTTCCTCTGAGCTATGCGAGTGTGCACACGCGTTAAGTGGCTCCACTGAGCTGAGGAATGTGATTGTGCACACGTGTTTACGTGGTTCCACTGAGCTGAGGGATGTGAGTGTGCATATGCGTTTACATGGCTCCACTGAGCTGAGCAGCGTGAGTGTGGCTCCACTGAACAATGTGAGGGTGCACATGCGTTTATGTGGCTCCACTGAGCTGAGCGATGTGTGTGTGAGCACAGGTGTTTAGCTCTAGACGTTTGTGCTCAAGCCTTAAACTTTACTTTCCAAGCAAACCGGCTTGCCTGACTTCAGAGCAAGGTGAGCCCGGTGAAATGAGAGTGCTTTGCGGAGCAGAGACCACAGACAGTGGTCTGCAATGAATGGACATCACAGGCAATTTTTCAGAAGGCGCTCAGGCAAAACTCCCTTGATTAATCTTCGGGCAGATGTACAAGGACTCAGGGATAAACATTTTCTTAATTTTCCATATACTTACCCCTCTGAAATTCAGTTTCCAATGTGTCCATTGAAAACCATCTTCTATCGAGTTGCCTCCTGGTATGTGGGGTTTCACCAGGCTTCCTTCCACACGGTGTAGAAGGAAGGCCTGTATCCATGGTAGTGGCTTTTTTTTTTTGTAATCACCACACATTGCATCCCAGGTTTTCAGGTGAAACAGACTGAGAAAAAGTAGAGTCAATGAAAGCTGGCTTGGAGGCATTCTGTGTTTTTACATGTTGTTCAAAAGCTGGGTGTGATTATTGCACGAACAGACAACTGAGCGTGAAACATGGGTTTAACCAACCTGGTAACCATTATATTGACAAAACCATCTTTCAAAACAAATACACATGGGACAGAATAGTTATCAAGTATTAATACTTCTTTCCAGGGTATTAATAGGTAAGGCTATTAAAGGTTTCACACTTCCTACTTAATAGAATTGGGAGTAAATAAAATGGAAAGGATATTAAAGAGTTTCTTTTTTTCTCAAAGGGAGCAATTCAGATCATGGCTTTTTTTCCTAGATGTTTTTTCTCTGCATCTCAATAGGTGGTTGCTTGTCGTATTTCTCGGGTAGTTACTGATGGTACTTCCTCCCACATGCTATGTCAGGTGCTGGGGCTGTAGGAAGAAGGCAGCCAGCTATAATGGAGCCTGAACTCTAGCAGTGCATTCTTTCCCTAAAGGAAAAGAAGGAACAGAAAAATATTGGACTATTTAACAATATGGAAGGTTGCTAAAACCACAGGTCTCTTAGGATTCTTTTGATCTATCTTCGTATATTATTTTGTGAGGATGGAGCAAATTCTTTTTTTTAATTTTTTTTAATTTATTATGTATACAGTGTTCTGCCTGCAGGCCAGAAGAGGGCAACAGACCTCATTACAGATGGTTGTGAGCCACCATGTGGTTGTTGGGAATTGAACTCAGGACCTTTGGAAGAGCAGGCAATGCTCTTAACCGCTGATCCATCTCTCCAGCCGAGCAAATTCTTAAAATACAGAATATCCTAGGTGTATACAGACACACACACACACACACACACACACATTTGAAAAGTAAAGTAGTTAGGAATGATTTCCTGATTAAGGGTTTTGGACAACAGTTGACCGAAAAAAATCAGATTCAGAATCTTGCTGTTATCCCAACCTATTCACAGGTTTTTTATATAATATTCTTTGTTCTCTTTGTATTATCATAAGAACTTCAAAAGTCATAGCCTTTAAAGAATGAACAGAAACACAAAGTACATGGCAGAACATCAGAAGCAAGCTATTTGAACAGGATCTGGGACTTAAAACCTTTGAGTGTGTATGCATGACAAGTGGGTACCTCATACCACAATGAGATATGGAGGATGTTGGAAAATATAGCCATGGTGGGAGACAGCTCAGCTTGAAATGTTGATATGTTTTACATACTAACAAACTAAAATTACTTTATTATATAAGCAGAATGAAACATTCTACCATTTATATGAATATTTATTACTTACTACTACTGGTCAAGAAACTCTTATGTATTTTATTATAAGGTCTCATACCTAAATTATATTTTTTCTCCACTTTGCAGGCCACATTTTTGCTTAGACTATACAATGGACATGGGCTCTAGCTGTTTGTTAGCCACATATGAAAGAGAATGAGCACTGGTCATGTGCTATTGTTATGGGGACTTGTATTTGAGCAGGCTTTCCCAAAATAAGCATAATAAGATGGTATTTCAGGTAATGCTGCTGTCTGGTGGAGCAACTGCTGTTTGGAAAGGAGAATTTGTCTAAGCTGCAGATTTATGTCTCTGACAATAACCTTCTGTTTGACAGCTCTCTCAGAGAACTCCTTTTCAGTATATTCAGCTTATTTTCACTATGTTGAAATATTTTTCTTATCAATTTCAGATCCTCATCATCCTTTGGCCCTGGGTTTACATGTTTTTCTTTGCAATTTCATCAGAACTGCTTTGTAATCATATCAATTCATTTCTAGATTTGGGGCTCGGGGCTGTTACCATCAAGCCAGTGAATGCTGTTGGTAGCCAATGTGGTGGTTTGAAGGAGATATTCCTCATCTATCCATAACTATCTATTATATGCATCTTTAGCTCTTAGTTGCTGTCTGTTTGGGTAGGCTAAGAGGCGTGGCCTTGCTGGAGGAACTATGCTGCTGGGGTCTGATTTTAAACTTTCAAAAGTCATATGCTCTTTCCAGTGCACTGTCTCAGTTTCCTGTTTGTATTTCAAAATGTGAGTGCTCAGCTCTCAAATTTCAGCTCCCACCTCAATGTCTGCTGCCCGTTAACCTCATTACGGACCTAACCCTCTGGAACTGTATTCCCCAAATAAACTCTTTCTTCTGTAAGTTGACTAGGCTGTGGTACTTTGACATGGTACTAGAATAGCAACAAAAATAGCCAGTCAATCAATACCGCTCCATTCATTTGTGCAGACAGATGTTCTTTAAATGTTTTTTTTTCTAGTTACCATATTAATCATCTGTTTAAAACTGAAATTTGCAGATAAATGAGTGGAGCTAGGAAAAATCATATTGAGGGAGGTAAACCAGCCCAGAAAGATAAATATGTTATGTGTTTACTTATATGTGGATGTTAGCTGTTAAGTCATGGATAAACATGCCACAATCTGTGTAACTACAGAAGTTGGGCATAGAGTAAGGACTAGATAAAAGAGATGGGCCTCGCTCTGAAGGATAAATATAATAGAAAGTTATGGATAGATGAGGAGGGGAACTGTATTCCCTAAATAAATGATATAAACAAAAAATGGGGGAGACAGAGCCTTCCCTGATCATCTCTTGTCACCAAATGACGCTTCCAGTACCAGGAATGGGTTACAATTAATTTAGTTGTTGTCCATCTAAGACATATTATTATTTTTTTATTGAGAAAAGGAAAAAAAAAAGTTTCCGCCTCCTCCCAGCCTCCCATTTCCCTCTCCCTCCTCCCACCCTTCTCCCCCTCCCCCCTCTCCTCTCCCCCTCCCTCTCCAGTCCAAAGAGCAGTCAGGGTTCCCTTCCCTGTGGAAAGTCCAAGGTCCTCCCCCCTCCGTC